TAATTTATTCTTTATTTGCATGATACTATCTTTGTCAAATATATTTATTATACTGTTAACTATTCATGCTATTTGAAAGTTACCCTTATTTAATAAAAAAAAAAGATAGAAAATTTAGTTTTTCTCTCATTAAAAACTTACCAATAAAGAACGGCAGTTATAATCAATGGTGCTGAAACAACACCTTGTAAAATTTTCCAGTTCTTTATAGCGAATGCAAGAGCAGGAATAATTAAATCAAGCATAAATACTACACCTGTTAATAATAGAGCATAGACTGCTCGAGATTCAATAGGAAACTATAAAACATAAAAAAACCACAAAAAAAAATATTTGAAACATAAAAAGATAAAATAACAATTATTTATTTACCATTTCAATAACATAAGGTACACTAATTACTTGTACAGCACCAATGGCAATGCCAACAAAAAGTATAAAGAAAACATAAGATATATAATCATCACTAAGAAGTTGAAATATTGATAGAGCACATGCTGTCCACATTGATCCTTTTAGATAATAAAAAAAAAAAAGAAAATTTATATTTACCAAAATTAAAACATAATAAATATTTTAATTTTTTGTTTTACCAATTAAAATCATTTTTCTTCCACTATGATCAGCAATATAACCAAATATAACACCTCCAAGAACCAAGCCAACAAGATAGACAATATTCGGTATTTTCACACGAATTGAATCACAAGAAACATTAAACTAGAAAATTTAATATTTAAATTTAATAAACGAAATTTGGAATAAAAAAATAAATAAATTTCATCATATCTGAAAGTTTGATTTACTTTTAACAATGAAAACTTTTGTAATGATATCCAAGAAGATTAATTATATTCGAAATAAATTATCATTTTTCACTGCTTAATTTAAAATATTAGTTGTCCATAACGTGGACGAATCGAAGACATTTATAGTGTTTACGATTCGAAATTTCAGAAGAATTTTCTTTATTTTAAATCTATTAATTGGTAATAAAAGTGATAATTTAATCCGAATATGGTCAATCTTTTTTTTTCGCTTTATAGTATAAAAGACTTTCATTGTAAGATTTCTACTTTGTTTTTATCTTTAATAAAGTAAACGTATTCTTACATCAGTCAATACAGTTCGTCCATATTCTTGGCTATAATTATACGTTGGTTGATCGTTTCTCACTGGTCGATCAGTAGTTTTTCGAACAGTACCATTCAATGAATTTAGTGGTTTTACTGTCGAATTTAGAGATATTGATTCTCGGGATTTTAGTTTAAGAGATGTTGAATTAGCTGTATTTATACTCGAAACATTTGGAACAATTCGTGAACAATTGATAGATTTAGGTTGTAATACTAAATAGATATTCGATAAAAATTTATTTAAAAAAAACAATTGCTTACATGCAAATGTAGGCATCTCGGCAAGCCATGCAACAACGACAGCATAGCCCAAAACCAAAAATATATAAGCACGTAATTGATGTTTGCCAAATTTTCCTTTATACGTGCTTTTCAATGCCTTATCAGAATCCCAACTTTTTTTAAATGTTTTAACACTACGTAATGCTCGAGCCATAGCCAAGGATACTGGACTAATGGTTGAAAGAGTTGGCTCTAAAGAATTAAAAATAGATAAATAATTAATTTAATTAAAAGAAATAATCAAAGACACACCATCATTGCTCTGAAAATTTGTATTATTATTAGTTACACTATCCATAGGATTTTTCGACGTTCTCTTCAACATTATCGCTACTACACAAAACTGTTCTACTGAGTTACTTAAGAATATAAACACGAAATTTATTGTGCGTCGTAGAAAAACAGAAATTGTGATCAAATATATGTCAGATGATTTATTTTTTAAATCATGATAACTAAATTTATTACTTATGTCGTTTTCAATCTTGTCATTCCTTTTAGACATTTTGTTGTTATTAAATTACTATTTTGTTGCAGAAAAACAATAAACGCTATACAATGTACATATATAAATCATTTTTATCGTGCAAAATTCATTTGTAATAAAAAACAAAAAGATTATTTAGTCGTATTAAACTACTACGACATGCACAGCACACATTCATTCTTACTAACCATAATCCAAATCTGATTCAGCAAAACTTGTTGTTCGTTGTAGATAATATTGGTGATGATAATGATCATCAGGTACAGAAAATGTTACAGAACTTTTTCGACGACGAGGTTCAATAATCATTATGATTTCTTTTTTTTTCAATTAATATATAATTATTTCAATCTGTTTATGGATGAATATAGTCAAAAAAGAAACCAACATTCAAAGGACGAAAAACGAATAGAGAAAATGAAAGTAAAACAGAATATTTATTCTAACCATAATCGTTGAACTTGATTTATATATCATAGTTACTGTTGTTGTTGTCATCGTTCATGCCTGTAGGCTTTTTCTCATTGATCATTTTCGAAATTTATACATATGCAATGACTTTTTTTCTTCTAATAATCGTAAAAATAGGTAATAGAACATAAAAATCTACTATGCCCAATTGAAACGTTCGCCATTCGATATAATGTTTGGAAAGAAAACGACGAACAGTTACGATTATGGATACTACCTTGAAAAAAAGACGAAGATATATCGTTCTTCTATTATTTGCTGCTTTTTTTCTTTCTTGCTTTCTTTTACTCTCTCCCTTGACTCTCGTTTTTTTTTCTTCGTCTTTCTCTAACAACATTTTCTACGTACATATCGTTTTGGAGAAGAAAAACAATTGTATGCATGTTGACTAGATGAGATGAATTTCTGAATAGTAACATTACTCTATTGATCGAAAAACAAATTACTGAAAGACATCTATGTAGCTTCGTAATAAACAATTGTAGAAAAAAAAACAGAGAAGCAAAAGTATCGACTAATTGACAAATAGGTCTTTAAGAGAACGATGAAAACAAACAGCTGCACATAGAAAATAACTATAGTAATGACTACCAATCAATAGAAACTTAAATAAAGCAATTGTCTTCTATATAGATCACCTATACTTGTTGACAATCATATCCAAATGTTCGTTTGGTATTCTGCTAGTAAAAAATAGATATTCTCGTTTTATAAGAAATACACAACGATAGCAGTAAAATAATAATAAAAAACAAGAATGATCGCACAACATAGAAAACACGAAGAATAACGGCAACTCCTAAAGACACCATCATTATTATACCCGATTATCACAATAATCTGGATAAATATCAATAATCCAAATAATATGACTTGAGGTGACGCTAGAAGGATATATATTCCTTAACATTATAACCACACGCACAAGAAAAGAAATCCTTCAGCCCATCACCATCTTGTATACATGGCTGCTGGCATATATAATAATATCGAGATACGATTTTTTTTTCCTCTAACATATAAATATCCATTTTTATGTTAATAGCTGCATTTTAGAAAACAATTTTCTCTCTATAATCTTGACATTTATTTTTTGTGAAATACAAAAATTTTTTTTTATCGGAAAACTAACGTCAAAATAAAATCATTTATGGCGTAATAACTAATGGCATCATGATGAAAGATTATAAATGGACTTTGTACTTTTATGTAATCGAGTATGTGATGTGACACATGCTATGTTATTTTTTATATGATTTACTCTCGAGACCAAGCAATATATCATCTTTTTTCATTACTTTTCTCTCTGTAAATAATTTTGCTACTAGAAGTTCCTCTTTTTCTATTATTCTTTCTCCTTCTGACATTATCGTAATATATTTTCTCGCGTTCTACTAACTGTCTTTCGTTACTATTGATATAAAACATCTAAATCTGCTCGGTATTCGTATATTTAAATCACATATCTTTTCTTTTTTTTTTTTTTTTTTTTTTTCTTCAATTCAAACTTACTTGTTATTCCTTGTTATTGAAATAGCTCTATAAAATCGAGCTACGTATCATAAAGTAAAAAAAGCTTAAAGAATCACGCTGTAAGCTTGTGACCGATATTCGGCCTTCGCTGATCGTTCGGACAGTAGAAATAACGAACAGTATGTATATACATTATAATGATGGTAATTCTTTCTTTTCTTTTCTCGTTCTCCTTGTCGCTCACTAAACACATTCCGTTTTTTCTCATCATCACTGTGATCGAAAGTTTAACCTCCATGTGCATATTAATGCTGTGCATCAGCTCGTTTCTTTTCTCCTTTTACATATTCACTTCATTCTTGATTTGTTTTTTTTTGCTTTTAATCTACATACAACATGCATCGACATATAATATCAACCAATCGAATATTGCTATGATATAGTTAAATATTTCTTGCATACACTCACATACACACAAGTCAACATAATAATTGAGATAACATTAAAAAAGAAACGAAACAAAACAATTTTTATGACACTAAACAACAAATATAATATTCAACTGACCTTTTCATTAAAAAAATCGTCGGCATTTAACCATAAAATGAATTTATTATCTAGACTACATAGTACGATGCTTAATTTTAGTTTGTTTATTCTTGTTGTTTTTTTTTTAATAACTTTATTTAAGAACCGAAAGAAAAAGAAAAAGGAAGTGAAAATTTCTTCTCGAATGCCACATACGTTTATATATATATATGTATATTTATATCCACAAAAAGCTAAATGAAAAAAAAACATCGAAACTAATAAACATAAAGAAAAGATAAAATACAAAGAGAATCTTTTTAAATATGTATTTATGCATGTAATATCTTGATTATGTTTGTTTTCAATTATAGGTCTGCATTAATCTGTTACTATTCCATATTTCTTCTTTTCCTATCTGCTCATATGAATCGCACCAAAATAGAAAAAAAAAAGAAAGAAGTATATAGATATAAATATCATCAAACAAGAAAAAAAATCCAGAAGATAATAATACAAGAATTTAATATGATGTTCTCTTTTTCACAAAAAAAAAAGTGTAAATTGACCAGCACCAAAAGAAGAAACGAGATTTTTTTTTTCTATGTCGGAATTTTTCAATATTATGAAACATCTAAAACAAAAACAAAGAAATTTTATGTTAAATAATTTTTTCTTTTTGTAAAAATATAAGTATTATTGAATACGTACAAGAAAATTGTAATTCAGAAAACCGTCGTGTTAATTGATCTTGTGTAAATCGAACAAAACCTTCATATTGCTCTAAAAAAATATAATAGATTTATTTCAATAGACAAAAAATTTTCTTGATTTTGTTTTTGCTTACCATTAAGTTTATTTGATAAAATTTGATCATATTCTTCACGTATTTTTTCTTCACGTTCTTTTAATAATCGAGCACATATCATATTAACTTGTTTAAGTGTTAAAAGATGTTGACTATTTGATGATGAATGTCCAGGTAAATTACTTAATGATGTTGAATCAGTTGTATGATGATTATCATCATCCGGTAAATCCGATGAAGATGGTTTTAATTGATGACGTCGTTGAAGACGACGTACTTCTTCTTTTATTCGTGTTAATAAAATATCTAATTAAAAAAACAAAATGAAGAAGAACAACTATAATAGGAATTTCCTTTTTTTTTGTTTATTTTCTTTTACCAGCTGTTAAAATTGGTTGAACATCAGGAAATACTGATTGATTTCCAAATGATATTTCTGTTGTTGTTTCATTAGTTGATGAAACAACTGTCATTGGAAAACAACGACGTTGACGTTTTGATGATGGTGTCCTTGATTCATATGGAGTTGAATTAGTATTAGAATCTCGATCGTGATCAAACGAACGTTTTAATGTCATACATGACGCCATAGAAAAGTTTTTTTTTGTATTTATTAGGAAAGAAGAATGTATGAAAAATAAAGACAAACACAAAATCTAAAAAATAGATATATATATATATAACAATGTAATACACGTGGTAGCGTTGGTTAGATTAATCTCGAACGAGAGAGAAACAAACTGAACTAGACAAAAAAAACGTTATCAAAGGGGCTTCGATTTCAAACTTTATCGGTTTATAGTTTTAACCAACGATGAATAAATAATAATAGATGGCGCTTGAATTCATTAATTTATTAAGCTATTCTATGCACAAGAGATAAACTTTTCGTGAATAAGGCAAAAGATTTTTACAATCATTTGCTTTCTTCGCATAGTTTTACATATTTCTATTGTTAATAAAACAGTTGAATAATTTTCTTGCATATAATAGATAGTGCCATCAAGATATTATTACTTACGAAGATTATTAAATTTTCGATGCAACTTTATGTACATACCGAAAAATTGAAAAGTAGAATTTTGACGTAAAATTCTGCTGACTAATAGGTCTTATTCTGAAAGTTTCAGCCGAAAAGAATGCCTTTTTTTTGGTTGAGATATTAGGTTTTCAAAAAAATATTCACTTGCCATTGGCATAATACCAAAAATTGAGTTTGCTGGAAAATTTAGTATCTCAACCAAAAAAAAAGATATTCTTTTCGGCTGAAACTTTCAGAATGAGATCTATTAGTCAGCAGAATTTTACGTCAAAATTCTGTTTTTTCATGTTTCGACCTATGATTATCTACAACTAGATCGAAAATTCAATAAAACGATCATAACTCAGCTCCAAAGGCACATGGGGACGAACCATATGAGTATTTTTCTAGTCTGATCAAGGCATCCTTATAGGTCTGACGTGAGCTCAAACAATGGAGTATCAATTGGGGTAGCTTCCTCATCAAGAAGAACTTCGCATATATATTTATCCATAGATAGTATTATTGATTGTCACAATTCAGTTCTATTCTAATTTTGAAAACAACTAATACGAAATATGTCACTTTTAATAGCATTAATTATTAACAATTTCATATGTAGCTAGATAATAATCGAGACTCACTCGATTGCAAAATTCGGTGCGAAGCTTCCAATGTCGACGAACGGATAAATCAATATTTTTTAAAAAACTACAATCGTTTAAACGATTGAATATTATGTTTCGATCAATCAAATGATCGAAGTCAGAAAGAAAGTATAAAGAAGCTATTGCAAAATTCATAACTAAGAGCACACTAATAACGGATATAAACATGATTTTAACGAATATTTTTGATTGATCGCTTGATTCTCTCTCTGATTTATTATCGACTGGTGGCTAACTTTTGTTGTTGTCTCCATTTTAAAAATCTCGAAGCTTGAAAAAAAAACCAAGTCCATAAAAACTTGCCTTATTGAATGGCTTTCTGTAAGAAAATTTCATTCTTGTGTTTGAACGAGTATTTCCTGACTTTCGCTTCTTGACATCATTACGACAGAAAATGACAACGTTTGATGCCTACATCCGGAAAGAAGAAAAGGAAAAGCACTCGCGAAGAATTGTATTAATTAGTCAGTTAATACGCCGTCTTATTTTCTCATAAATGTTAATTTCAATCAATTTTGAAGGTCATTCTATCATCACTGTACTTAACAAGAAATAATTATTTGAACATATTGTCGATCAATAAACAGATAAAATCTTTATTGGTTCTAACCAGTTTTTTTTATACATTTAGTTTGAACCAAGTTTAATTGAAAAAAGAAAGTTTTGGAAAAACATGATTCTTTTTTTGAAACATAAAGCTAGAAATTGACCAAGTTATTTTTATTAGATGGCACTCGTAAACTTTCGCTTCATTTCAGAGCCGATTTGCATACATGCTCCAAAATGTGACTTAATGGACACATCAATGGTGCACGGGTCAGCAATCATAAACATATTTGAAATTTGTTTTTTTTTTCTATTGAATTTTCATTTATTTATTTGTTTTAGATAACCTATTGTAAATATTGTTCATAAAAAGCATAAAAGTTCTTATAGAAACTAAAAGGTTACTTTTGAACTTTTCTGAAAGTAGCACAAAGATAAGGGAAAAAGCATAAAGTTTCACTTTCACTCAAACAAAAATAATTTCAAAGATAAAAGAAGATATTGAATTACAATTTTGAAGTTCTAAGATTTCGATCATAGAAAAAAAAACGAATCAATATACTTATTCTTTTGCATTTTTCTCAAAGATGTTCATTGTTGAATAGAGTGATACATCAATTTTTGAATTCAAACTTATTTTATTCTCACACAAATACTATTCAAACCAACGATACACAACAAAATTGAAATCATTTAGAATGATCATAGTCACACGCTTCGTCTATTCATAGATCATTTCATGTCATTGATACTGCTGCACTAATGTTTTTATTTTGCAATCGTTGATTATTTTATAATTAATTGATAAATATATTCAACTACATATGAATAAACAAATCAATCATCTGCGAATTTCTCTTTCAAAAATAAAAAAAAAAAAAAGAAAAATCGTTATCTTGGATCGTAGATAAAGTCATCATTTTCAATATCTTCAACCATTATTCTTCACTCACATCAATTGAATCAAGTATCTATATGTATAGTTAAATTACGCTTTCTGTTCCAAATGTAACAGTGATTCAACTATTTCTAGAAATGATTCGATCCTATTTCGTCGAAAAATTAAATTGAAACAAAATGAAGGAGGGTAGGTTACTTTGTTTGATTAGATCTTTTTAGACGTATTAATTAGAGATAATGTCTGATTAGTCGAAGTGAATTTGTCCAAAAATTTATTATAGCACATAAGAATTAGACGCACATACAGAAGATGTTAAGAAAGAAAATATGAGCAGAGAAATAAAAAGGGTGTGGGTTTGAGTGTGTGTTATTCCGTTGTGCTAATACCCACACCCACACCCATCGTGAACAACAGCAGCAACAACATAAATAGTAAACATTTTTTTGTTATTTTTTTATTATTACATTTTTTTTGTTTGTTCTTTCTCTCTCGTTATGATATTTTCTTTCATATTGTTATATTTTTTTCTTTATTTCTAAGTGATATTCTGAACATGTTCTTTCACTAACGGGTGCAGTCACACTAGATATTTTTTTTTCTTTTTCTAAAGTTTTTCGTTGATGTTTTTTTTCTTCCGTTTATGTTTTTTTATAAAAAAAAGGCAAAAGTATTTTGCCAAAACAAAAACTTTTTTGTAAGAGAAAGAGTGTTAGGAACGACATCTTTTCTTATGTTTTTTTCTTTCTTGTCGCGTTGTTATCGTGATCTTTCTTCTCTTCTTCTTTCTTTTCAATATTATATAAGTGCGTGTACAACCACTGCATGATAACTATTTTTCTTAATAGAAATAAAAGAAAGATCAGCACATAGCTAAATCGAACTCTAAGTGCGCATCATTAACAACTCTCTAACAAAGAATATACAGATAATCCAATTAAGTGATTTGAATTTCGATTGATTGTAAGTGAAGAAAGAAACAAACATATCATACCCACAACTTTAGAAGAAATATATAATTAATCATCAGTTCTTGTACGAGTAGCACGATGATATCTCGCTAACTGGGTTAACGACTTTTATTGTAGTTTTCAGTGAGAGAGAGAGAGAGAGAGAGAGAGAAAATATGAAGAAAAATAAATAAAGAAAAGAGAAAGAAGAGATGCACGAAAAAGATAACGTCATTGATATAGATTATACACGTGCGCTATTTCTATCTGCTACACGTCACACATCAACTGCATTTACTAGCTAAAGATAGAGGACAGCTAAATAGAAGTGAAGAACAACATCAGACATAAAATTATGGATGGAACTGAGATAACTGTAGTATATCGTGTGTATCGCGTCCGATGGATTCAACTGTTTGTCTATTTCCTTGCAACATTTGCGTATACTTTGCATAGTGTGACATTTGTTCCGATCGAAGTGAAGACAGCCACCTTTTTCAAGATAACATCGACAGAAGTCAATACTGTGGCCATTGTCTTTCTCTTCCTTTACGTGCCCGGCACAGTTCTGTCAATATGGGTCTATCGAAGATTCTCGATGCGAAGCGGGATGATTATTGAAAGTTTACTAAACTTGGGTGTATGGATTCGTCTATTTGCTCTCATTTGGTCCAGTCGTAGCTATCCGATTCTCATGCTCGGTCAATTTTTCCTAGCTATTACGGTACCTTTGTTTTTGAATTTGACCGCGCTATTCGCCGCTCGTTGGTTCGCTCCACAATAACGTGATATTGCAACAGCCATTGGTTCAACGGCCATGCCACTCGGTGGGGCCATCGGTGCTCTTCTACCATCGCTTATCGTTACCCAATGGCATATCATCTCATTCATTCTTCATTCTCTTAACAATTGAAGCTGCTTTCACCACATTGACAACGCTCTTAGTTGTAGCCATATTTCGATCGGAGCCTCCATCGCCTTCCGAGGAACATCACCAATCGATTAATGTCAAACAAGATCAAGGCTGTCTGTTCACCAATATTCACTATCTTATTTTGTTATTCGGTTTCTCTTTCGGTTTCGCTGCTTTTCTTTCAATAACCACACTTGCGTATGAATTCATCCAACCATGTGGATATTCGAGCGAAAATGCCGGTGTGTTCGGTGCCATGCTGATTACAGCAGGTCTCATTAGTTCCTATGCAGCGAGTATAATCATGGGTCGCACACATGCCTATAGATTGTTACTCAAGGTATTAGTAGTAGGTGCCTGTGTATCGGTCTTTTATTTCATTGTCATTCTTCGACCAAATATGCTTTATCCACTGGGTGTTTCAATTGCTCTCTTAGACTTCTTTCTGATGCCACTTTTACCAATCTCATTTGAGTGTGCAGTGGAATGTACTTACCCAGTGCGTGCCGAATGGTCTACTGGACTACTTCTGTGTGTTGGTAATGCGCTCGGTGGTGGTTTTACTTTCCTTCTTGGCTATCTTATAACACTCGC